CTTACAATCCTTGTTTTAAGGAGGTGGGACATGTGCACATAAAGAGTATTAAATTCCTGTCTAAAGAAGCACAAGAAAGCCTCAGTGTTCCCTGTAGTCAGTTATTATGGATAAAAGAGGCTTTCTGGATGTCTGACATTTTTATTCACATGCTGGGATCACCAGAGTTACTGCCATATCAACCCCATGTGTTTATCTTCCCATCAGACACAGCCAGTGCTCTGCCCATTGGTCCCTGAGCCTGTAGAGCTCTTTCCTGGGTTTTTTGTTGTTGCTCATCAAGCCCATCCCCACTAGTAGTGCTGTGTGTGGCTTGTCTCCCATTCTATTCCAACTTCATAGTTCTTCATCTAGGGCTGTTTCAGATGCTAAAAGCAAAGTTATCCTTTCCTCTGCTTTAGACTTCTCGTTTTCCTTGTCTCATCTTTCACTTCTGCAAATTGGACTTTAGATACATTACTGGTGAATCAGCAAATTACTTTCAACCTGGAAGCTAACAGAAATAATACAATTTTTTTTTACTCATTTGGGGCATTACTTAGTTACCTGAACCATAGATGTCTTTGTGGGTGCTTAATGCTTATTGATATGCTGTTAAAGTAAACCAAAGTTTTCATCTCTAAGACAAAATGCAAATATGATTAACGTGGAAAATACATATTATATAGGAAGTCAGGGTAATAAAAAGATATGGAACACAGAGGCTTTTGATGCCTATTATACAGTTTAGGTGTATAGGTTCAAGAGAACTTTTTTTCCTTAGGGCACACAAGAGTTTGAATATAATGCCATTATACAAAATACCATAAATAAGCACATCAAAAAGAAACACCTTTGCACTTTGCTGTTTGTGTGGAGACTGACCACTTTCCTGTCCATTTATCTGTAAGCTGAATCACCTGAACTCGCCGATGAGAAGGTAACGAGATAATTGCTGGAAGGTGCATGGGTTTATTAAGGGTCTAGTCTAACATTACTAAATATCATTTAATGGGCATTCTGGAAAATTTAAGGTATTGAAATTTATTTTATAGAGAAGCAAAGTTTTCAGACTGTACCAGAATACATTTCCGTATAAGATGAATCCCTCTGAAACTTCCTTTCTAATTTTTTGGCAGCTTGAATCAAGAGACTTAAAAGTAGTCATATTCTTGGTCCCTATAAGACCCCTTATAAAAATCTGTCCTAAGGAAGCAACCAAATATGGGATAAAAGATTTAATGAGTGGGATGTTCATTACAACCTAATTATATAGGGGAAAGAAAAGAAATGTCTCATATTAAATAAGTGGTTAAATACATCGCATCCATAAAATGTTAGCCTATGTTGTCATTAAAATGTCATGTTCATTTCTAAAAGTATATATAATTCCATAGGAAGTTCTTTACAAAGTCACTTTTAAATTACTAAACTTTTTAAAATGCACATATACAAATAGAAAATAAAAGACTGGAACGTGATAACCACTATTAATATTTTGATATACCTCTCCTTGGTGGAATTATGATTTTTTCATTTAAAAAAAATCCTTTTTGTAAATAGATCTTCTTCTTGATTTTTCTGATGACCTAAAGAATAATTCATTTAATTTTTAAAAGTCATTTGCCAGTTTTCTTGCTTGCCTGCCTTTTCTTTATACCTAACTTGGGAACCATCTAAAAGGGGGAAATTATAAAGATGATGGGGGATAAAAGGGAAGCCCAGCCTCTTTTCACTACCCCCTACATATTATTTTGATTTGCAGATATAAGATAAATAACTCTCTTGACCCAAGGTCATCAAAAACAAACAAGTAAAAACTAATATCTATTGGAGCATTATGATTTGCTTAATTTAAACCATAGTTGGAATATAGTTTCATATTTCAGGAATCATGAAGCATCAAATGAAGGTCTTACATAGCCGGAGTCAGTCTTTTAAAAGTTATAGAAAGAAAATAGTCCATTTAGCTCCTTGCTGATTCTGTCCTCTGAGGAAGAAGGAATAAAATACAGAAGCAGACTTGTGACTGACCTGCTGTGCAATCACAGAGGAAGCCACAAGCATTGGAGATATTTACACAATGTTGCACCAGAGGTGACCAAAGAGGTGATCAAACTGGCCATCATAGAGTCACAGCCTTTCGAGGCATCATGTTTCAAAGTACTCTGCTAAGCAGAAAGGAGCATTGCAAGGCTAAAAAAAAAAAAAGGAAAAAGAAGAAGAGGAAGCCCAGAGACTGGAAATTCCAAAGACTCAAAATCCAAGTTTTGAAAAGACTGCATTAACACAATAGAAAATTAAAAGTGCTATGAGAGATTCGTAACTGATATTAAACTGGCTGAGAAATCCTTAGTGGATGTCTAGCTAAGTCCCCATAGCTCTAGGGACTTAGTTAGAAATCCTTTTTCTACCTGCCAGAAACTTCAAGTAGTACTTCCTTTGTGAGCCAGGCAAGCACCTTAACCTTTCTGAGTCAAAGGTTGTTATGCCTAAAATGGGTATAATGATAGCACCTAACTTATGGGGCAGCAGTGAGCAGGTAAGTAATTTAGCACAATATGTGCAATGTTTACAAAATAACATAAGTATGAGTTCTCCTAATAATCACTATTTTTATATTATTATTGAACATTTTATCTCTCAAAAATATAAATGCTTTAAAATTAAGCATTAATTTTAGCTGTATTTGGAGGAAATACAGATACTCTTACAGCTTATTCGAGCTTTATGGCCTTTAAAAAGTAGCTAATAGCTATTTAACAAGACTGACAACCTGCCACAAAATAAAGGAGGTTATATAGTACAAAAGTTCCACTCTGCTTATGATGAATAATAACCCCAGAGTCAAAGCTATTAGTTGAAGTTTTTCACACAATATTGCCACATTTTTAACCATAAGTGTATGAGTGTATGGGTGTGTGTGTGTGTGTGTGTGTGTGTGTGTGTGTGTGTGTTTGCATATAAGGCACGTGTAGGTAGGTATATCTAAGTTTCCTATGTTTGCTAGCTCTGTGGAGAGACTACACTGAAATAATAATACTAACAATCCAGTGATTTTCTGAGAGGATTTCTCAAATGTTCACATGTATACATATATCCCATTCTACTCTTCTCCTAGGAACATGACGTAAGTGGGACTTAACTTGCCAAATATATTATGGGGAGAATTTTGTTTTTATATTTTGGAATTTTCCCTACTGTTTCTAAGCCCCTACTATTGGGGCCAAATCTTTGAATTTCTTCTCACCTCCCTAATTCACCTGACATTCAGTCCTGAGGCAAGCCACCAAATCTGGCTTTTTTTCTCCTCTTAGACAGGATAAAGTACTTAAATATTGCTGAATAGGTTAAAATAGTTTTCTGATCTATTCAGGTGCCACCTACCAAGCACCAGCTCTCAAAGATATTAACCAAAGGGACTCGAAAGACCCTCAAGAAAATCAGGATGAAAATTAGCCTCCTACAGACTACTTTTAGGCATTTGAAAGCCAAGCTGGCCTCGGGAATGCTTCTCGATTTCTTGCTCCTTACGACCATTGTTTGCCCTACTCTCGCTTATGCCATCTTCGTACAATGTAGAAAGCGTTTCTGACACTATAGTACCAGGGAAATGGGTGAAAACAAACCTCAGTGAGGCCTCACAACCGCCACCACAGAGCAGTTCTGTGGCCCTGTATTTCAGTTCCTCTAATCTTCTCGTAGATGGTGACATTTTACTCTTTTCTTAATATGCTGAGATATGAATATTTTCATAGCTATGCAATAACACTATGATATTCAGAGTAAGTAATCTAAATTGTAAAAATATATACTTTTTTTTATATTGGACTCAATAAAGTCGTAATCATTTTGAAAGAAACATAAGGCTATAAATTTGTTTCATGTATTCATTGCCTCTTATTTAAGACAATGATAATCTGCACTGACCTAGAATGTCCCCAAACATGTTTTCCTCCTTAATATTCAATGGTTCTGGGAGGCTAGCCTAAGAAGCATAAGTTAAGAATCTTTTGTTATGCTTGCAGAATTGATAAAAGTCTAATAAATACAATTAGGAAGGAGAAACTGCTGGAAAAAAAAAAAAAAGCTTTTTAAAAACCAGAATGGTGGAAATGACATAAACGATTACAAGAGAAAATTTCGTAGCAAAAACACATGATTATGTGAGAAAAATAAAGAATACTTATCAATGCTAAGAAAAAGGAAATTATGAATAAAATTTTGAGAGAAAACTCCCATCATGAACTTTAGTGATTAAAAAACAATAAATGTTGATAAGCTGAGTTACATTAGTTACAAGTGACAGTCCAAAGATGTTACTGATTTATTTAAAAGATGCATTTTTTTATACTGTATCTGCTTAGCCTATGATTCCACCCTCATCTTCTTGGTAATTTATTTATATTTGAAATTATATAGCCAATCAGTGTGGGCTTACTATCTTCATAGGGCTTTTTTTCAGAGTCATTAAGATCTTTATACTGTTACTCTTCCTCTTTGAACCTAAGACACATAGCCAGGCAAGCTTGTTTGTATTCTGTTCAGAAAGAGGGTACTTAATTAGTGCCACTTCTATTAACACACCATGTTAAAGTGATTACATTTGTTACACATCACCTTCAACCATACCTTTAGCAACTAAATCACTCTTCCTCATCAGCTATCATTTATATCTTGTTAGCATCAAGAGGAAACAAAACCAAGTCACACCCATTTAATTTCATCTCAAAACTCTGGAGTTGAGTTACTATATTAATGGTGCTTATTTGTAATGGGGGCATTATTTAAAAAAAAAAAAAAGTAACTAAGTAATGTTGCTATAAGGTAGTCATTTGAAAGCCAAGCTGGCCTCAGGAATGCTTCTTGATTTCTTGCTCCAATAAATTTGAGCATACTTCAACCATAATCTGCAAAAGAACTGCACTAAAACTAGGACTCATGTTTTGTTATTGTATTGTTTCTTGAAGGCATATACTAGTTAAGATTGTTCTCTTCTTTTTTCTAAATATTCCTGGCAGGTACTAAGCACAAAACCATGCTAGAAGCCCGGAATGGAAGTGGGACTATCAAAGCCTTTCCTAGGGCAGGCGTGAAAGGTAAAGGACCAGTTAATAAGGGAAATACAGGCCTGCAAAACAAAACATTTCACTGTGAAATCTGTGATGTGCACGTCAACTCGGAAACACAACTTAAACAGGTAGGCAGCACATATTCTAGAAATAAAAAGAGGGGACACCTTATGAGCAGGATGTATGTGTTTCCTTTATTCTCTTTTTTCTATTTTCTCCTCCCATCCATCCATTCATTTATCCACCCATTCATCCATTTATCTACCTATTTATCTGTCCATTTATCCATTTATCTATCCATCCATCCATCCATCCATCGACTTACCTTCTAGTCACTGTCCTAATTTATTTATGCTCATTTTAGTTGCTGAGGGACTACTATAACGCAATGGTTTCTCAGACCTTTCAGAAATTATTTGAAGTGAGTTTGTACTATTCTTATATATGAGAGTGAGAGGAAAGGGGGTATTAGACCTTTTTTCTACCAGGTTTCCCACTTAACAGTGTTGATTTTCTTTAAAGTTCAAATTGTAACATTTTATTTTAACTTGTTTAGATATTTACATACTACAACTAACTTTATACAATGCTATTATTTTATGTACTTTATTACATGGTGTTGTACTGTATCTCTAAATCCTGTAGCCACCTGCTAAAGGGATGACTAATCCTGTTACATTCACTTTTACTCTGAATAGCCTTACAAAGAGATTGGTTATATGTTGCCAATCAAAGGCCCAGCCCTCACATTGTGTTGTTTTATATGCATAGGTATGATATTGTGCTGATTTTATGCACCTTAGTTATTTATCTTTAAATTTAAGGGGTTGACATTTGACTGTGTCAATGTGAGGATAAATATTAGAACGGAGATAAATTTGTGCCTGCCTAGGCATCTTTGTTTATCTGCACATGAAATTCCTTCAGACATTCCTTTCCTTTGTAAACTTCTAAAAAAGGAGATCTGTGCAATGATAAAGAAGACTGGGAAAAAGAATATCCTTCTATTTGTTAAAAAATACTAAAATGAATAACATAAAAATATACTCAAGGCATCAGACAAAATTCAAGGGTAAAAGTGCATGCTTTTTTATGTTTCTCTTTCCAAAACTTGCATGAAATAATTAATATGCTTCCTCAAGTTAAAGCAATATTTGTGAGAGTTCTTCGGGATGATGTTTTTTTTAAAGTTGTCAATTTTAATTGCTTTTCATAGCACATTAGCAGTAGAAGGCACAAAGACAGAGCTGCGGGGAAGCCCCCAAAACCTAAATACAGTCCTTACAACAAACTACAGAAGGCAGCACATCCACTGGGGGTGAGTATCATTTTTGCTTGCCAAAAGATAGTAGCCTTTAATTTACCACAGTCAGCTGAACTTTGGTTTGTTTGGGTTGTGTCGTTGTTACTGAATGAAATAAATGAGTGGTACTTAAGTAATGACAATTGATTTGAGGGTCCAACAACTACAGAATAATTGGTTTTGTGAGTTGTTTTGCCATCTTTAGCCATCGCCCAGTATCTTATCTTCCTAAGTTGGCTCAGGTTTGTGACAGATCATGAGGAAATGAGAAAAGTCAAATTCTTTTGAGTCGGATAAGTAATCACCTAAAACCTGGTCTTGAAATTAATGGATAATTTTAGGAAAGAATGTCAGTGAAAAACAAGTTTTTGCATCTCCTTTTTAATATTTTTTTAAATTTATTTATTTAAATTAGTTCCAAGTATACAGTACATTGGTTAGACATCTATATAGTTCATAAAACAATCCCCCCAATTGCTCCCTCCCTCCTCTGGCCCTCCACCTAGCCAACATATTAATGCTAACTGCATTCCCTCTGCCATGCTCCCCATTCCATGACCAACTATCCTTTTTAATACTTTTAAGAGACAAAGCATTGGTATTATTGATACCCTCAGTAATATTTTGAATTTTGAGTGACACGGTCTCAAAGGTGTGGCTTATTTTTATTTAATTATTCACCCAAAGTCACTATATGATGCTTGGGAAATACTTCGCAGGAAGTGACCTCTTCCATTTATTCCAAATGTGCCTTTTAGGTTAGTAAACATACTAGTACTGATGTCTTCACTTGGAATTTTTGTAGGGCTTTAGGGGGAATCTGTGGACCTCTTAGGTTAATAGTTATGAGCATGTGCTTTTTTTCTTGTTGAATTGACCATAATTTTTATCAGAGGGACCCAGGGCACAGTGCAAAGTTGAGGATAGCTGATCTGCGGTATGTGTCGAATTGTACATTTTGAAATCTGTTTTCTTCAAAATAGATCTTATTAATACAGTTGACCCTTGAATAGCTCAGTTTCGAACTGTGTAGGTCCACTTATCTGTTTTTTTTTTCCATAAATACAGTTAGCCTTCTGCATCTACAGGTTTTGCATCCATGGATTCCACCAACCTCGTATCGAAAACAGTATATTTTTGATCAACAGTTGGAAATCTGCATATGTGGAGGGCTGACTATAGTTGAGTTGTGGGGAAGACATGAGTTATACATGTATTTTTTACTGTACTGAGGGGGTGATCATCACCCCTAACCCTCACATTATTCAAGGGCCAACTGTAATTGGTGCTATCGTGTGCTGTTGACACATGAAAATATAAAGGAAAACTACAATCATCTATTGCAAGACCTAAGTATGAGTTGACCCAATTAGTTTAGTAGCATCACTCATTTTTATGCAAATGAAGTTACTTTACTCTTGTACAGAAGCAATTTTAGCTGCATTGGGAAATTGTGAATTCAGCACCACTTGTCATAACCTTGAGTGTTCTGACTAGCATAGATGCAGCTTTCGAAAACCAAGTGAATGGTTCTTAAACAAACAGAGAAGTCAAATCATGTTAATATTAGCATGCAAAACCTCCTTACTATCACTGTGTTACTATTTCCATAAATGAGAACATTCTCTCCATGAGAACAGACATCTTATTGTTGCTACTAGCCAGAGAAGGAAATGGTTTTGTAGAGTAGGATTGAGAGAATGTTGTTACTATTTGCACAAAGAAAAAGTAGAACATGTCAAACTTTTGGGGAGATAAGTTTTCTTCTTTACTGAAAGTGGAATTTTGTTATTTTTATTTCTCTTGATTAGGACCTCACACTTCTCTATGCTAATCAGTGATACACTTGGATAGTCTAATAGTAACTGACAGCATTAATGAATCTCTATTTTAAAATGTCTATTCCATGATAGTTATTATGTGTGTAAAAGGTGGAGTAAAATTTCTAATTTTTTCTGAAGACGAATACTTTCCTTAGGAAGTTATTTATCAAGAAAAATAAGATTGCTGAGTACTTTTCTGGGGGGGCGGTTTCACATCCAAGGTCAGCCATTTTCAGGCATCTACCAACTCTTCCAAAGGAAAGATGATCTACGCTTTCCAGTATTTTTATTGTCAATTCACAAGTATAAGTTAATCTTCGTAGTTGTTTCCTGCTATATTTTAAAAGCTGCCTGCCATTTTGGATTCCAAGTGTAGACTCCAAACTTTTGTTCTTCTGTTCTTTTTCTGTCACTCCCTTGCAGGTAAAATTAGTATTTTCAAAAGAACCTACAAAGCCATTGGCTCCACGAATTCTACCAAACCCACTGGCAGCTGCGGCTGCCGCTGCTGCTGTGGCAGTGAATTCCCCCTTCAGTCTTCGGACAGCCCCAGCAGCGACACTGTTCCAGACTTCCGCCCTTCCGCCTGCCCTCCTGCGGCCAGCACCTGGACCCATTCGGACCGCCCACACGCCTGTGCTGTTTGCTCCTTACTGAATTCCAAACGGGAGTAATTGTACTGCAATAATTTTTCAAAAAACAAAAAAAAACAAAACAAACAAAAGAGAACTATGCAGTGTTTATTTATAGTTTAAAGTATATCTGAAGAGCCAGGACTTTTGATAGTGAATTTAAAAGATTATTAAAACAAAAAGGGGAGGGAGGGAGGTGTGGGAATGGGAGGGCAGGGGTGGTATTTTCTCCAAATTAAAGCATTCCTCTTGAACACTGATTGTTTTAGAAGTGATCTCCAGCATTGACTTGTTGTGGTATCTAGAACTTCTGAAGCCTTTGTGACTGTGCTTTTGGGCACCTATTTCCCTCTGCATTGTCCTTCCTGCTTTATGAAACAACTATATATTGTCTAAGGGCATTAACTGGTTCCAATGTATATATAATAATTTACCCTGTAGATTAAAATAATAGAAAAAAAACAGAAGAAAAAAACAAAAGCAACACTGTGAATAGTAGTACCCGTGCTGGTCCTCTTGCTATGACAGCAATTACTGGGTATTTATCCCAACAAAAATAGATACAGTAGATGTCTTGTAAAACAATAGTGCTGTGTCTCAATCTATGCCACTAGGTTTTGAAGAATTGCAAAGGTAGAACGAACAACTATTTCATGCCAGTAAGCAGTCAAAAAACAAAGCACACCCGATGGTGTTGTGGAGGTCTCTCTGGTCCACATCCTCCCCTCCTGTCCAGCTCTAAGACGACTTTCAGTTCAGAACAATAGAACAGGGCCAATCACAGAGGTGGGGGAGATGTTAACAAAGACGATTTCTTACCAAGTATCATCTTCCCACCTTGAAGCAGTATTGCTGGAAATAGGGAACTGTTTGTAATGAACCTGGATCTGCAAAATAGATAAAACCATGCATCATGGGTGTCAAAAAAGAAAACGACACAACTCTTTTATTTCATGGATAAGGGACAATCATAACCTAAGATGATAAGACAAAGTAAAAATTTCTCATGTTCATATCCAATAAAGACAGAATATTGTATCTCTGCAATATCCCTTTATATCATACCAGTAGGGTTGTCTCTTAGGCAAACCTTTGTCTCAAAGGTGTCCGCTTTGAATATGATGGTAGACATTAGCTATTGTGGGTTTTTTGTTGTTTCTTTTTATTTCCTACTGACATGATATAAACAATTAATATATATTTAAATGTTAGTAAGACAAGAAAAATGAATCTGAGTTAATTGCAGACCAAGGATATAATGTTAAAACAAAATACCGGTAAGATGCAATTGACCATCATTTCTCTAGTGAAGTTGTGAAATACTAATAGCCTTTGATATTCACCGTAAGGCTGAAAGGAGTTGATGTTTTACCTTTAAAACAAGATTTATCAGGGGTATATATAAATATATGTATATTGTATATATGTTAGAAAGATTAAGAGAATAACTTATAAAAAGAAAATCTATATGAAATAATTATATAACCATCCCGTGTTACATGTTATCATTAAGTTGGTAACAAATGGCATAAAAATAGCTGTGCCTTTAATTTGTGATAAAGGCTATTTGCTTTTTCCCATAGAAAGCTAACATATACCTATCACTATGATGGGGTTTGAGGCAGCCAGTCTGTTAATTATTCATAAGAACGGTGACACTCAAACTTAGAACAATGATAAAACATGTACAAATCAGTCCTACATGATTTAGGTTTAGAGAAAAAAAATATTTTTGAAAAGGTTTTGTAAAGATTATTTAAAAACATAGGAAGGGCTGAGTATGGCCTTCCTGAAACTGCTCTTATCTAAACTGTACTAACCTTTTGAGAGGATTCAAGATGAAACCATTTGAGAGATAGGTATTTAGCATTTGTCATTTTATATTTAAGAAACACCCATAGCGTGCTTGGTGCTCGATATTAACCATGATCTTTGGAGTTCTTCTCTACCATCTAGCTACAGACATTTGTCATATAAACATATCTTTAAAGCAGTCAGCTTTATATAATTTTTGTTAAACAAACAACCAAAACAAAAGAAAAAAGAAAGAAAAAAAAAAGAAAAAGGAAGAGGGCAGGCAAGCAGGAAGGAAGGAGAAGAAAAACTATTTCATCAGTCTTTGTTAAAAAAGAATTTTAAATTATATATCTTGGTTAAACATGTTGGTTAGCATTAAAAATTATTTTTGAGAGTATCTGGTGATTTTGTACTTGCCAATATCTCTACTCTCTGGTCTTCGCCAGCATTTTCTTTGTTCACCCACAGATCTGCTAGTTCAGCCAAGTGAAGAGTTGTTTGGGACTCTGTATCTCGTGTGACTAGATTCTGACTGTTTTGAACTTTAGTTTTCCTTTTTCTGAATTCTTATCCAACAGCCTACACCTGAGAACACCTGCCTTTCTATTGGAGAACTTAGTGTTAATTGATGCAGTCTCACTACATGTGCTTTCGCTGTTCTCCCCTGTTTTCACCAAAGCGAATGAGCCAGTCCACTAGAAGTCAGGGCCTATGGGATACAAGAGTCCTGGATCACAAGGTGTTACTAACTTTAATGATTTGCTGGGAACAAACAAATCAGCCATATTTCTCCATCAGCCATATGAGAAAACTGAGAAATACGTAAATCCTTTCTGCCTCACTTCGCTATGGAACCATTTTTGTTTAAATGGTCTCTTAAATTGGAGTTGTAATCATCAGTTGTCTTTTACTCACTACCTAATAAAGGATGAAGCCTAACCTTAGAACTTATAGTGGATTCTCTCTGTGAATTGTTTCCTCCCACTCCATGTATTTATCAGTACCAGATCAACATCTATTATAGTCCAGACTGCTATAAAGCTATATCCTTTCCCTGAGGGAACTTTCTTCATGAATAAAGATCAATAATTCAGATTGGTCAGCAGTGGTGCTCTGAAAATCCCGAAGGGTGGTCTGACTTTATAGTTATATATCCTGTCCCATGCATCACACACATGACAAGGAAGTGATAGAGAAAGCGTCTCTGATTTCATTTGAAACAAATATAAATGCATTGCAGGAGTCAGATGCCTCTGGAAAAAGCATTGTTGCATCTCATCCAGATCATTCTAGACAAATGGGAAACAGTTGTTGGGGAGGTATTGTATTTCTCTTTTGAGAAAAAAGGTGATTACACATAACAAATGGCTCCTCTCGGTGGTGCTAAACTTTATTCTATTCACATAAGCAAACAGTTGGTTTTTGACAGTTTATATCATCATTGTCTCATCTGAAAGAATTGTAGTCTTTAGGTACTATTGGGCTTTCTCGCATTCATTTTAATAACTTACTGCTGTTATCATCAGAGATATAGTTTGGGTTTTTGAAAGGTGCTACATATTTTCTGCCAAGGAACTATTTAGCCAAGAGACTGTTTATACTTATTTGGAAATTAAAAGAGCAGTAAATCACAAAACAAAGGATTAAAAATTAAAAGACAATAAAGTTTTAAAAATAAGATCATTCAGAGTTTATCGTGGAAATGCCCATGTAGATTTCTAAGGCACAGAACCAATATATAGCAGACATGGGCATTAAATTTCACTTACAATTACATTTTAAGTGAATATATTTGTCTCCACACCCATGTAAAATTTCAACTTTCCTGAAGAAGTCAGATTACAAAGCTAAAAGACGGTTCTGTGGTTTATAGACCTCTTTCTTCAAATCTGGATTGATGTATAGAAATACTTTCCTGTTCATAAGCATGGATGACATTGTGTTAATACCTACGTGCATACGGGAAAGCATCAGAAAGTGATGGAGAAAACAATGAGCCTGAAAGAAGTCCAAGTCTTGTAGATTTAGTCTCTGACCAGCAGTGTAACAATTGAATAGTCAGCTAATGCTTTGTCCTTAACTACTTCATCAGTAAAGGTGAGGGTGTGTAACGACTGAGCTGGTTTCCTATTTCTGCATTTAAAGGACCTCTTCTCTAGTCCCCTCAGGAATAAAACTGCTTCTTGTGGTAGTAAACCATACAGCTATTCAATATTTGCATGTGTCCAGAAAAATGTTCTGAATTCCTTTCCATCCTGAGTATTATCATTCATCTGATTAATCAGAATGTGGACTTCACCAAGAATTATCAGAGGAGTTGCTAATTCACATCAGACTTATAACAAGTCATGAAGAATACAGTGCATCTCCTTTCTCAGTTTAGAACATAATAAATTCTGAATAAAACAAACCCCAATAAAAGCAATAGAAAATAGGCAATGAGGGTGTGGAAGGGAGCAACAGATTTAAATGCTTCATCCTTTTTCTTTTTGTGGTGCTTTCTCACAGACCTCCTCAGTAATTCTGCCATGGTTTTGCAGGTGTTTTAGCTAATGGCCACCTTATTAAGACTGCTTCTCCCACAGCCAAAAGATATTAGTTATCTCCTCTTTCCATTGTTCAGCAAGAAT